CCAAAACCAAGTGAGAAGAGCTCAAATCATCAGAAAGACACGAAGAATCATCTTAATTTATAGATTTTTAAAACATCTTCAATGCTGGAACATAAAAACAGTTACGTTCTACAGTGAAGACCATCAGCCATCAAAACGGTTCCTCATCCATAACACGGGGTCTAGGTGGACTGGGTGGTAGAACCCAGTTCTGTTGGGGGTTCTTCATCTTCACAGCAGAACCAGCGTTCAGGGTTGAGGCGGGTCACAGAAAGTTGGACTTCACATGACCGAGCTGCTGTTTTCACATCTGTTTTACACAATCGCTGCTTAGATTTAGCTTCTGGACATTTTGCTGCAGAAAGCTCAGCTCGGAGCGATGATGTCACACAGCTTAAACTTTTTACATTCGTTTTCAAACTTGTTTACTCCCAGTCGTTACGCTGTTTATTCACTTTAAACATATTTTCCTTAGAGAAAAACACGGAGATCCTTCAGTTCCTTCAACAACGTGCGCTAACTGCACTGGCTTTTTCTTATGCTACTGTTAGCTTTTAGCTCCTATTTTTATTTCCAGCTAGACTTTGTGATCCTTTGAGCAAGCTTCTGCTGCTTTTAGCCAGACTTTACTACTTTTAGCTATCAATGTGCAACTTTTAGCTTTAGGCTAACCTTTAAATACTTTTAATTAGCCTTTTGATATTTTCGTTTTGATATCTTTACTTTTAGCTAGTTTAAAAAAAAAAAATCTTCTAGGTATTCTTTTGATAATTTAGCTTTTAGCTAACTATTTGACATGTTTAGCGTTTAGCTAGCCTTTTGATACATTTTGCTAGCCATCTGATATTTTTAGCTATCCTTTAGCATTTTGTTATTTTTAACTTTTAGCTTTGGATATATCCAGCTAGCCATTATTATTTCCTTTTTATTTACATTTTTAGCATTTATCTAGCCTTCCAAAGGTTTTATCTAGTAAATAAAAAACATATATGTTTGATGTTAAGCTAGCTTATTCATACTTTTAGCTTGCCTTTTGATATTTTAGTAAATTCTATTTTGTATTATACAAGAAAAACGTTCTTTAACAGTTTCCTTTAGAAAATACAGAATCATGACAAAGTCGTTTGAGTAAGGTTCTCGGTGGTTCCCCCAGGCACCCTTCAGGAGCTGATCTCCCACACCATGATCCACTGGGCCCAGGAGTCGTTCATCCAGAACCCTGAGCTGGTGCGTCTGATGTTCAGTCTGCTCCACAGACAGTACGACGGGCTCGGCGAGCTGATCCGAGCTCTGCCCAAAGCCTACGCCATCAACGCCATCTCCGTTCAAGACACCATGGACCTGCTGGAGTGTCTGGGACAGATCCGCTCGCTGCTCATCGTCCAGATGGGTCCTGAAGAGGAGCGGCTCATGATCCAGAGCATCGGGTCGGTGTTCGGGGGCGAGGGGAACAGTAGCTCACCTAACGTGGCCATTTAGATCTTCTGTTTTTGTTTTACGTTTAGCACATTCAGGAGATGGACGCTGTGACTTTTAGTTTTTGTAACTTTTATACTTTCCAAAATATTTACAAATATTTATCCTACAGAAATACACAGAGATCGCTTTGATTCCTTTTAAATTAATGGTTTCTTTAAAATCTGCTTCAGTGTACTGGCTCTGTTTTGTCTTCCTGTGCTACTTTTAGCTTTTAGCTATCTGGTTGTTACTTTAACTAGCCTTTTGCTGATTTGAGCTAGGGTTCTGCTACCTACAGCTAGACTTTTGAACTTTTTTATTTTAACTTATATTTGCCTACTTTTAGCTACATTTCTGCTACTTGTAGGTTTTGCTGCTACTAGGTAGCATTTTTAACTAGCATTTTGCTGCTTTCAACATTTGGCTATCGTTAGCTTTTTAGCTACGTTTAACTACTTTTAGCTGTCATTTAGCTTCTTTCAGATAACTTTTTTTAGCTAGAATTTTACTGCTTTTAGCTTTTGCTTTTTAAAAGGTAATTAATTAGTTGGTAGTTTTTAATTTGATGATTTGTTTTTCTTGTATTTTTCAGCTGTCCATTAGGTTGCAGCCAATCCTGACTTTATTTATTTGAAGCTTCAGCTTCACATCAAAACTCAAATTGTTTTGCTGCTTAAATAAATGTTGTTTTTTTTTTGTGATGATGATTTCTTATTTTAGGAATATCATGAACAACAAGGTTTTCTACCAACACCCGAACCTGATGAGAGCTCTTGGCATGCACGAGACCGTCATGGAGGTGATGGTCAATGTGCTGGGTGGAGGAGGGGACTCTAAGGTAACCTAATAATATTAGGATAATAAAAGGATGAGTGCTGTGGTATTACTGTTTAGTTGAATAATATTGTAATGTAATCAGTGAGGGTGGAAGGCAGGAGGGTAGAATTAGATTTGGTAAACTTCCACATAATAGTTAATATGGATACCAAATTTATGAAAGATACAACCTACTGTAGATGATGAAAATGAAGGGCCCGAGGACACAGCCTTGAGGCACACCAGCAGAGATGGGGAACGACTGAGAACTGACAGACTGAGTTCATATGAACCACAGCCAGACGCTCTGCAGAGCATTCAGAACAGACAGAAATCCAAATGTTTGTCTCTTCTTTGTTGGATTGTATACCTGGATTATCGAGCATGGACTTTGTTGGTTTGTCTCTTCTCTTTCAGGAGATCCGGTTCCCTCAAATGGTGACCAACTGCTGTCGTTTCCTGTGTTACTTCTGCCGAATCAGCCGACAGAATCAGCGTTCCATGTTTGACCACCTGAACTACCTGCTGCAGAACAGTGGCATCGGCTTGGGTCAGTGTGCGCATTGTTCAGATTTTAATTTAATCTTTTTATATATATATTTTTTTCATTTCTTATCTCTTTCAGCAAAGATAAATAAAGTCCTGACTGTGTTTTCTCTTTTCCTGGTGCAGGCATGCGCGGCTCCACGCCTCTGGACGTGGCTGCTGCCTCCTGCATCGACAACAATGAGCTGGCCTTGGCTTTGCAAGAGCAGGACCTCGAGATGGTCTGAGCCAATCAACACGTCGACACCAGAACTCCACCCCAAGTAAAGAGCGTGGTGGAGTTACTAACTCGTCTCGGTTTCCTTGTGTTCGTGTGATGCAGGTGGTGACGTACCTGGCCGGCTGTGGGCTGCAGAGCTGTCCGATGCTCCTGTCCAAGGGTTACCCCGACATCGGCTGGAACCCCTGCGGAGGAGAGAGATATTTGGATTTCCTGCGCTTTGCCGTCTTCGTTAACGGTTCGCTGCAGTCCTTATCGAACTGTGACGTTTCGTATGAACGCTGAGTCGGCGTTCGCACTCTTGTTTCCTGTTTTGAAGTTTGCTTTGTACGTTTTTTCACACGAACGCTTGTTTTATTTTAGATGTTCGTATATGAACATGTTCAGCTCATGCAGGAGATGAGTGCTGTGACTTTTATACTTTCAAAATGTAAAACTTTATTTTAAAAGAATAAACGTTACGATTCAAGATTGTTTTTAGCTCCATTTATTGATTGTTCAGCTCTAGTTTATCTGTTATTCTGCTCCTTTAACCTATCATTCTGCTTTTTTAGCTATCCTGTACTTTTAGCTATTAGCTACCATTTAGCTCCTTTCAGCTTTATATTTCCCCTTTTAGCTATTATTTTGCTTTTTTTTTAATTTATCTTTCTGCTTCTTTCACTTATTCCTCTGCTTCTTCAAGTACCCTTTTGCTACTTTTAGCTTATAGCTACTGTTTATCTCCTTGAGCTATCGTTCTGCTTCTTGCATTTTTCATTTCTGCACCTTTTATCATTTCACTGCTGTTAGCTATTGTTCTGTTCCATTTAACAATTGTTCGGCTCCTTTTAGCTCTCATTCTGCTCATTGTAGCTCTCATTTTTATCTTTTTAGCCGTCGTTTTGCTGCCGTTATTTATTTTTCTGCACCCTTTAGCTCTCTTTCTGGTCTTTTTATCAATCGTTCTGTTCCTTTATTCCTCATTCTGCTTTTATTTTATTTTTTTGTTGCTACCCTTCTACTGCTTTTAGCTTTTAGCTACTGATTTGCTCCTTGCGCTAACATTGCAGCTTTCATTAAACTCCTATTAACTCTCATTCTTTAACCCATCATTACACTTTTTCAGTTTTCTTTTCACCCGTTTTAGCTTTCATTTAGCTGTTGTTCAGCTTTTTTCGTCTTTGTTTTAACTTTACCTGCTCAGTTTTAGCTTCTTCACCTGTCATTCAGAACTTCTCCTGTAGGTTCTGGTTTGTGTTTCTCAGATGTTTGTGTTCCTCCCCCTCGTAGGAGAGAGCGTGGAGGAGAACGCCAACGTGGTGGTGCGTCTGCTCATCCGTCGGCCCGAGTGCTTCGGCCCCGCCCTGCGAGGAGAGGGGGGCAACGGTCTGCTGGCCGCCATGGAGGAGGCCATCAAGATCTCCGAGGACCCGGCGAGGGACGGACCCACGGTTAAAAAAGACCGGCGGTTCATGTGAGCGCAGGAGGACGTCAGGAGCAATGAGCGGCCCATCAGAGATGTTTACACGGTTCGTTTTTCTGTTTGATTGACAGGTTTGGTGGCGAGGGGCAGCACGAGGAGAACCGCGTCCATCTGGGAAACGCCATCATGTCCTTCTACTCGGCGCTCATCGACCTGCTGGGACGCTGCGCCCCCGAGATGCACGTGAGACGACTTGAAGCTTTATTTATTATTATTTATTATAATCAAATGTAGGAATCGTGTAGAGGAGCATTTAGTTTGGTTAATCTGCTGCGGTTTTCAAAAATCTTTTACTTTATTTATGTTAATTTAAAGATTTTAGAGCTGCTGGACTGATCTTTAAACTTTTTTATTATAAATTAACTTGTGATAAAATATTATGGTAATCGGAAATCAACAAAGTCCATGCTCAATAATCCAGGTATACAATCCAACATTTTTCTGTCAGGTCACCTGGACAGTCATCAGAAATGTTTTATTTTAAACTTTTGCTAATTTTTTATGTAGGAAATCCTGAAATCGGCCTTTTTTAAAAGTCAGTTGAGAACACATGGCAGCTTTTTGTCCCTGCAGCTGATCCAAGCAGGTAAAGGTGAAGCTCTGAGGATCCGGGCCATCCTTAGGTCCCTGGTGCCCATCGAGGACCTGGTGGGAGTCATAAGTCTACCTGTACAAATACCCGCCTACGGCAAAGGTCAGAGGTCAACTGATGAGTGAACATCTTTATTACTAACTTTGTTTACTAATAGCCTAAATGTGTAAGTTTTTGCAGTCTAGCTGTTTCTGCAGACTTTGTGCTGTTTGAACCATTTATGTCAAAACTTCTGGCTCTTTCAGGAGACGGGCGTTGGGAGTTTTGGTTTTCGTGACTTCATTTACAAATAATCTTCCCAGAATATTAGAAATGTATTGTTCTCTTTGAAATATGCTTTAGCAATCTTATTTTTTTTTATCTTATTATGCTACATTATAGCTTTTAACTACACCTCTGCTGCTTTCAGCTTGGAGCTGGTATTGAGTTTAGTTTTTTTGTATTTAAGTAGCATTTTGCTACTTTAGCTTTGAACCAGCATTCTGCTCCTTTTAATTTTTAGCTAGCATCTTGCTAATGTAGTTTTCCCACCAGAATTTAGCTTCTTTTAACTGTTAGTTAGCATTTTGCCCTGATTTTGGTACTTTTGTATTTAGCCAGCATTCTGCTCCTTTTAGCTTTAGCTAACATTTTGCTACTTTTTAGATTTTAGCCAGTGTTTTGATCCTTTCAGCTATAATTTTGGTACTTTAGCTTTAAGGCAGGGTCCAACTCCTTTAGATTTTAGCTAGCATTTTGCAAATTTTTACTTTGAGCCAGGATTTTGGTACTGTAGTGTCCAGGCAGCATTCTGCTACTTGTAGCTTTTAACCAGCATTTAGCCATTTTAACATTTAGACATTTTTTTCTTTTAACCATTAGATAGCATTTTGCTACTTTAGCTTTCATCCAGGATTTTCCTCTTTTAGCTTTTAGTCAGCATTTTGCTAATTTTAACTAGCATTTTGCTACTTTAGCTTTTAGTCATAATTTTTCCCCTTTTAGCATTTAGTTAGCATTTTGCTCCTTTTAGCTTTTAGCTAGTGGTTGGCTTGTTTTAATTACAACTTCTCAGTCTCAGCTTCTTCAGCAGTCCTTCAGCTTTTTTCTCTAATCATGGCTCCATCTTACTGAACCACAGACGATCAGATCATCGAGCCGAAGATGTCTGCCAGTTTTGTGCCGGACCACAAGGCTTCCATGGTTCTGTTCCTGGACAGGGTGTACGGCATCGACAATCAGGACTTCCTGCTCCACGTGCTGGAGGTCGGCTTCCTGCCTGACATGAGAGCTGCAGCTTCCCTGGATACAGTAAGGAGCAGAGGTCCAGTTTTCAGTTTTGGGTTCTGTTGGAGATCGCTCCAGTTGAAACGATTCTTTTCTCGTCTTCCCGTCTGGTTTCAGGTGGCCTTCAGTACCACGGAGATGGCCTTGGCTCTGAACCGCTACCTCTGCTCAGCTGTGCTGCCTCTGCTCACCAAATGCGCCCCGCTGTTTGCTGGGACGGACCATCGGGCCATCATGATCGACTCCATGCTTCACACCATCTACCGCCTGTCCCGTGGCCGGGCCCTGACCAAGGCCCAGAGGGACGTCATTGAAGAGTGCCTGATGTCGCTCTGCAAGTCAGTACTTCACCCCGATTAAAAAACAGCTAACCAGAGAACGCCCGAAACAAAAAAGAAACAGCTAATCAGAGAACGCCCGGCTTAAAACGGAGCTAACCAGAGAGAGCAGTGGGAATGCTGTCTGACCTCTGAAAACTGTAGAAAATATGAGCGTTGATTTAAAGTTAAAAGAAACAGAACAGAGGCTAAACTGAACAAAACAGGTTTAGATGAGCAGAACTTGAGCTGAAATCAGTGGAACACAAGCTAAAAGTACAAGAACATAAGTTAAAAGCAAAGAAATGCAAACTAATGCAGCCGAACACAACCTAAAGGCAGAAGAACACAAGCTAAAGGCAGAAGAACACAAGCTAAAAGCAGAAGAACA